CCCGATCAGTGACTCGGTTGTAGATCTAATATGGAAAGCACGACGACAACACCAGACGGAAAAAGCAACAAACTCTTAAAACAGCAGGCCTGACCACCGCTCTTTTTGTTTACGCACTTTTCTTTCATCCATCTGACCATGTGGTGATGTAACCAACGAGTGTCCCTCCCTCCCCTTACTATCCTCAGGAACGCAACATTTAAAAGTTCTCAAAACGGATACATGTCGTGTCCACTTATACGTAACCTCCCCCACCTCCCTCACCTCCCCTACCCCTTCCATATCCCGTAAGCTGACCCCCACCCCCACCAAAGCCGCACAGACCCCTCCTGTGCCCACTGGCCCACTGCAGCCACCAACAAAAAAAAAAGATTGGCGGAGGTCGAAGAACGGAAGGAGGGAAAAAAAAGTAGAAAAAAGGCAAAAAGAAGAAATTCACATTGCGCCAGCCGCGAATCGAACGCGGGGCCCATCGATGGCAACGATGGATTTTACCACTAAACCACTGGCGCTTTGTGTAGTGGTGTTAATGAAAGGTTTCAAGCATGACAGATACTTATGAACGAATGAAAAGACAGGTTCAATATGTATGTGATCGGTAACCTTGGACCTTGGATCGACCAAGAAAGAGTCTACCATACCATACAGTACCAAGCACATCAGTCACACAGGCTCAGACACAGACAGTCTTTGCAAGTAAATAATCAACAATATATTGTATGTGCACAATGAAAATTACACAGTTTGGCAACCGCAGTAGGATAATGGTAAGAAAATGAATGGATGTGGGTATAGGGAGGAAGCGGCATATTGCTTAGTTGCAGAGTAGTATCATCATCGTAGGTTGCAGTAGAATGGAAGGAGGACAACGTTAATAGGTAGGCACTGGGGTCTTTTTGCCAAGTACTTTGTCGGAGACGTCGTACGGTATCGATGTTCATTTCCTCTGGGCTGGTTTGGGTGGGTACTTCCAGGTCCTATCCCTATTACGCGGAGGACGTCTTGTTGGGAAACAGAAGCGGAGTTGGGTATGTACATGTACCCGGAAGGCAAAATATGAATAATGTTCGACCTTATGCTGATGTACGAAAAACCCAGCTTTGTTTTTCCCTGAGGGGCTTGTTCGTTGTCCACTGTGATCGGGCCTTTGAGACGAAGTGCTATCCAAGAAGGACCCACATTCATTTCTCCGCGCTGTCTCCTGCTTTCCATCTCCGGGGGCAGTTTTCTTGTCTTTTGACCAGCTTCGGGTTTAAGCCCTCTTCATCAATACCAAACAAATCCTAGTTTAAGAATTCAGAACCAGGGCGACCAGAAGGGGTAGGACTGCGGGGTTAAAAGACGCAGGCAGGCCCATACAGCCCGATCAAGAAACTCACAGACAAGGCACAAGCAACAATGGACTCTACTCTACAATCTTCTCTACTCTAAACACTGCTTTTCCGTAATCCTTGCGGTGTCCCCAGTGGCGCCTTGAATCCCTTCTATCAAACACCGATAAGCCATCCTCCAGATTATATGTACCTTAGTAGCCAGTGAACAGTGCCTAGCTGGTTTATGCATGACGGCAACGTATGACAGGGTATTCCTGCACAAAAGAGTGTAAACAAAAGCAAGATCTGCCGCAAAATCGGCAAAGTAGAGGTATTAAACGCCACAATCCATCAGACGGCCCAGAAACCGTGAGCGTAACACAGCCCTCAAGACATCACAGAGGGGTGCTGATGAGGTGTGATGACAGGACTAACAACCAGTAAGTGTTCTGCAGGAAGTTGCGCCCTCCAGCCATAAGACCACCGCCTCCCAATGAAGTGGACCAAATCACCTCTTCTTCCGCTTAATAAATGGATCAACAGGGGCCTTCTTCTTCACCACCGGCGGCGGTCTCTGCTGCTGCTGCTGACCATAACCACCACCACCGCCACCACCACCAGGTCTGCTAGGACCAGTTGGAGGACCACCCGGTCTCGAAGGACCAGTAGGCGGTTGTTGTTGTTGTTGTTGTTGTTGTTGTTGTTGTTGTTGTTGTTGTTGTTGTTGTTGTTGTTGATGCTGTTGACGGCCGGGGTACGGAGGCGGAGGTCCCTGTTGAGGACCACGGGGTGGGTACTGTGGCTGCTGATGCTGATAGTTGTTGTACTGTTGAGCAGCTGGTGCTCTGGTGGGAGGTGCCAGGCCGAGGACTTCCATTGCCGAAGGGTCACTCGGCGCGGGAGGCGGTGGTCTTGGCGGGAGGTCACCGTGGTTGTTGGCGTTAGGGTTGTAACCTCTCGGTCCCTTGGGGGCTCGACTAACGATGGGGTCGACGTGTTGCTGTAAGAAGTGAAAATTGTTAGTAAATCTGGACTGACCATACGTGCTCTGCTTGACCGTGTGTTGGACGTTACGTACCTTCTTGCCAGGCTGATCACCCCCTCCTCCCTCATGTGGCCTCTTCTTCGCCCTCGGCGTGAAAGTCGTCTCCTGAATGAGTGGCAAGCCTTCCCTGTGCGGCTGCGGCGGCGGCGCAGGCGAACTTCCGAACTCGTTCTTGATATGAGCCGGGGTATTTGCTCCTGAAGGAGGTCTAGATGGGGGTCGAGACGAGCCCATCGCACTGCTCCCACTGACAGAAGGAGGAGCCGGAGGAGAAGATCCCCTGAACGATGACCTATCGTTCATTTTCACATCGCCATCCTCGTCCTTGACCTCGGCCTTCACCTCGACCAACTCCCGCTTGATACCGCTCGGCGTACCGTCTCTGCTGTCATCAGAGCTAGTAATCGCCAAAGCCCGGAAAGCCGCTTCAGACAGCCGAGGCCCCGTCTGGCTCAACATGCCCATGATGTTACCCGTGGTATACCGATCACGCTTCTTCGAATCTTCAATGAGCTTCGCCCAAAACTCGCCCTGCATGAGGGCACGGGAGTCGCCGAGGATCCAGAGCGAAGACCGCGCACGTGTAAGACCGACGTTCATACGGCGGATATCCGTCATGAAACCGATACCGCCCGTAGGGCTAGCACGAACGCAAGAGAAGATGATGATCTCGCACTCTCGGCCCTGGAAGGCATCTGTGGTGTTGAACTCGATTTCATCCGTGATGGCGTCACCAAAGCGCTGCGCAAACTGCGACCGCAATCGGTGCAGCTGGGCCTTGTAAGGAGTGATGATACCAATCTTGCCCTTGAGGTCGACATCGCCGTAATCGGCCTTGAACCGGCGATAAAGTTGCATGGCGACCTTGAGTTCCTCCTCGTTGACGAGTGACTGGTTCTTTGGCCCACGCTCCTGCAAACCGCGAACATCGAAGAAGCGATACGGCCCAAGCAGAGCACTGCGGTGCCAGGGCTGGAGACGCGACTTGGCCATGCCATCGCCGTCTTGTAGGAGACCTTCGTAGAAGGCTTCTCTGGGGAAGGAGCTGATCTCAGGATGCATACGATACTGGGTATCGAGGAGATGCACGTCCTTCTCGTGGCTCTTCTGCATGCGGACGAACAGACTCTGGTCGTAGCCATACCGCGCAGCAGACTGGGAGAGAACGGTAGGTGGCAACTGCTTGGGATCACCGACAAGAATGCACTTTGAGCATCCGTACTTCAAGGGAATGAGCGCGCTAAGCTCCACGCACTGCGCCGCCTCATCGATGATGACCGTCTCAAACTCCACGTTCAAGTTCTTGAACATCTCGTGACCGCTACCGCTGAGAGTGGCGCACAGCACCTGAGCCTTATCGAGAATCTCCTGCTGAACCTGGCGGCGTTTAATCTCAGTCTCTCTAGCGAATGTGTTTCCGCTAGCTTTATCCGCATCGATGCGCGCGCCGATGTGCGCTTGGCGCCGCTTGAGCTCGTCGAACTCTCGCTGATACTTGTTGATAAGCTGCCGGTCATCCATTGTGCGCGCCGCTTCCAGTTGCGGTCTGAGTTCGGCAATCTTCTGCTTGATCTCGCCAGCTTCCTGGTGCATCTTTTCTCGGTCAGTTGGGCCTTCGTCCTTGTTCAACTGAGCATCCATTTTTGCCTTGACCAGCTCATCGAGCGTGACATCCCTGACACCTGCGTTGATGGCATCACTGCGACCGAGACGGACTACCTCGATTTTGTGAGTCGTTCCATTCTGTGTCTTGACACCATTCTTCAGACGCAACACCAATTCGTCCACAGCTGCGTTACTGGGCGCGCAAACAAGCAGCTTCTTGGATGGAGCATTCTTTGCCGCGCCGAGTCCTGGACGGCCAATGGCCACACCAGCGGTAGGATTTTTGAGCACTCCGGTCAGCAGACAGCCGACCATGGCCACAATGGTCTTTGTTTTACCAGTACCCGGAGGACCCTGGATAAGGGTAAACCCATCGTTCTCTTTGGCGTTGAGGATGGCCTTCGCCTGACCTGGGTTGAGTTCCCAGTTCTTCATGGTGTTCCTGATATTCTCATCGCCAAACGACAGCATGGGGGACGGTTCGGCTCTCAATACTTCGTCCATGAGATCGTAGTACTGTAAACTTTCCAGGGCGGCATACTCGCGTTCAATGGTCGTCATGTTAGTGATCTTAACGACTTGAAACTCCGAGCCAGGCAGTAGCACAGGTAAGATCTGGTTGCCCTTGGCGTTCAGGCGGTAGACGACCTCCACGTTGTCTTTCTTGTAGGTTGTCTTCCAAATACGCGAAAGACAATGCAGCTCTTCTGGCTCTTGAAGTGGGTTTTGGCCCTTGGAGATGATGACAATATCTCCTTCAGACAGTTGACGGTCCTTGCTGACCGCAGCTGGAACTGACGCCGTGACTTCCATGAACTTGTCAACTGTCATACGGCTGAGAACCTTGATGCCGAAAGGCTTGGAAGTGGTTTCATCCTTTGACGTGACAAATGAGCGCCAGGCTTCGTTGATGAGTAGCGGGAAGAAGGTTTGCTTGTAGCTGACTGGGTCGTGGTAGGTATCCGAGACGTGATCGCAACGGTACCCGTTTGGCGGATCGTTGCCCTCGTGGAAGATGTCCCACTCCAAGATAGCCTGGTGCAAAACATCCATAGGAGGAATAAGACGAGCGCGCATATCCTTGGCGGACCGCTCGATCTTGACCTTCTTGACCGGCCCGCGTATCTTCTCGGCCAACAACCGATGGGCGCGACGCTCGGCCTCAGTCATACTCTTCTTGCCAGCAGCATGCAGGTTGACCAGCTCGTCATCGTCAGACTCATCCTCGTCTTCTGAAGATGATCCAACCATGATCTCGTCCTTGAGCACTGGGGCGTGATCTTTTCCACGAACTCCAGCAACCCCAGCTAGACCCGAGCCTTCTCCTTGCACCAGCTTCGGTGGCGCACGCAGAGCCTTTGCCCTCGCAATGGCCTCAGCATCTCGCTTGGCCTTTGCTTCTCTCTCCAGCCGTCTGGCCTCCTTGATCTTGTCGGCAGCCTTTGAATCGACTTTGGGAGGAGCTTTGAGTGGAGCTTCGGCTTTCATCGTCTCCAACAGAGCATTCTTCCGCCTCTCAGTGGCCTTCTCAAAGGCAGGCGTAAGCGAAACCATGTGGTCTTTGAGTGAGGCCTTTGAGAAATCGAGCTTGGCTTGTTTCATGACCGGCTTGACCTCTTGCTTGACATTGACAGGCTTTCCACCGACGAATTGCTCTTCGATGGCGGCATCATCCCCGAGCGCCTTTAGCAGCTCGATCCGTTGCTCATTGGTAAGATTCGTCTTTGTGGGGTAATCAAATCTTCCATCAGTGTACTTCCTCTTCTTTAGCATGTTGTTGAGATAAGCGACAGTTTTTGGGGGAAGCGACATGCCGTTGTCTTGCAGACGCTTGATCAGCTTCTTTGTGATCTCGATGATACCGGCAATAAGGTATTTATCGCGGAGTTGCAACATGTCCACTAAGGGATATGAGTGCATCCTCGGCGGCTCCAGAACCAATTTCATGCCTTCTGAGCCGTCGTCCCCGTTTGTTGCTGAGATGCTTTGTGGACTGCTAAGTGCCGAGGCCATGAGACCATCTTGGGTGAGGAGGTGCTCTGCAAGCTCCATCACATCACGACAAAAGTCCTCCATGTACCTTTTTCGTCCTACCTTCTCGTGCCAGAGTCTCATGGATCCGAACGAGTGGCCGACGGCTCTCCATTCGCACTCCCACCATCCCTTAACGACCGCATGTTCCGCAGGGGTCAGGGTCTTGCGTCTGAGCTGGCCTACGGACGGATCACTTAAGCCATCGAGCACGAATTCACAGCATTTCAACAAGTGTTGCATGTGACTCCACGGATTATTGGAGTCTCTGGCGCTGGTGATATGGTTTACGGCACCAGCAAAAGCCTCCAGGAATTGAGTGAAGTACTCCTCAAGCATCTTACTCACGGCCTCAGATGGCGTAATCTCACCTGTAATGGCTTTGACCAACTCGAAGCCGGCTTCGCGAATGGCATCCTCACCGTGTATCAGAGTCGCCACAATGGGCTGGATAGTGTTACTTTGCGGATCCGAGCAGAAACTGTCGAGATCAGCCGGGTTAAATATTGACAGACGGCCGAGCATTTTGCCAATTGCCTCCGTTTGCTGTTGAAAGCGGCTGTTGAACTTGGCATGCTCGGTCTTGAGCTGGCCTTTCCGCTTAGGGATGAACCGTTCGATACTCCTGAGAGGCATCGTTGCTCTCAACATGGCCTTAGCAAGGTCTGTTTGGCCGGTGAAGATGAGATCCAGGAACGACTCCCATAATGCGCCAGAGTCCCTGTTTACAGCATCTTGAACAGGCTTCCCCTTAACGAAAGCGTCCCATTCCATGAATGTCGCCTTCGCGTCCAAGGCCAGGGCAGACTGAACGATAGCTATAGCAGCCTGTGAGAGGCCAACGTTGAACTTGTCCCCGGCTTTGAGTTGCGTGGCACCGATGATGACTTCCTTGTACTGAATAACTCTGTTGAGTAACTGGTTGACCATAATAAGGGACGTCCCTGTATCAAAGGATGGAAGATTGAGGTAACCGTCCAAGCATTCTCTCAAGGTCACCAGACCAGCAAGGACACAAGTGGCCTTTGCTTCCTGGGTCGCGTTGTGGTCGACACGGAGAGTCTCGAAAAGATGACGAAGAAGAGTTTCGCAGACGTCTGACCGCCGCGCTGATGGGAGGGAACGGATGAAGGCCCTGACCCATTCCGCCAGCGCTGGAATTTGTTGGCCGTTGTTATCCCGGTCCTCAACCATCAAGTCAGGGTCGAGGGACTGGCTCAGCAGGGGCTTGAAAGCCGGGCTCTTGAAGATTTCCTCCACAATCGTGCTGGGTGTGACTTGGTCATAAGCATCCCAGAAGGCCTTTGGCGAACGCTCCATGAGCGTACGAAGCCCTTTCAGTATCATGCTCAGGGCAAGGACGTTGTTGGTGCCCAAGTTTTCGAGAGCAAGAAAGTAAACGTTCGGTTGTACTTCCATGCCACGGAGGTTCTCCAAAATGCTCTTTTCACTCATGGATCGCAAAATGAGAAGGAAGCCACTCCAAAAGCGACACAGCCTCGCCGGGGGCGGGATGCCCCTATGGCCCAAGATATGGGACTTGAGACCACTTCTGACAGCCCATTCCCATTCCTCATCGGTGAGGCCTTCCGCTGGCATCCGTTGCCATTGCGCCTCTGCAAACGCCCTGTGGACCGGATACTCTTCGAAAAGGAAATATGTCATGGTCGGAATAGCGCCTCCCACCATCTTAAGCGGCTTCTTAGGCTGGACATTTTCGAACACGTAATTGAATAAGTCCAGATTCGTTTTGTTATTGAGGTAGGCCATGCAGCAGAGCGATTCGAACAAGGCGAGACACGGCGCAAGTTCGATCTTCACGAGCTTCGTTGTCGGCATGGGACCATCCCTCTCGAGAAGGAATTTAGCTCTCTTGAGGCCGCACGTTATGCGTTCCTCGTCGAAAGATTCGAGGTTTCTCTGCAGGTTGCGCAGTAAGTCGGCGTTGTCGTGGGAAATATACCTGTACGATCAGATTAGCTTGGTCAGTAGCCATACGGCCGACAAAGGTGGGTATGGCAGATACGCACTGTTCAATGGCTCGGAGGAACTGCTGGCGTGTCTTATGCCATGTCCTGGCACATCCGTCGCATCTTGTAAGGAAGGAGTTGACACGTTCTTTCCACTCATTGATCCATTTTCCCGCCTCTGGCATTACTAACAGGAGCGAAAGGCCGTAGGTGATTCTACATCGTTCGAGCCCGGCAGCAATTCCCTTTTGCTTTTCCGCCACCGTTGTTCCGTTCGCATCGGGGAGGTTTGGGACGGCGTAATTCGTATCGTCAGCTTCACTAAGCAAAGGACAGATCGGATGTGCTTCTGGGGGGAACTCCTCGAAGGCTTGGTGCATCTCCATCATAGCCATCTGGACGTCCGTGGTGCCTAGCTCCGGGTATTCCATCTTGTCTGCCATCTTGACGGTCGATACGAAGTGTGGCAGCTTCTGGTAATGTTCGAGGCAGGCGGCGCTGGGAGGGTGAAGTATGTCGGCGCTTCGACAGTCGCAAGAAGCATCCGACTTCAGCGCAAAAGCAAGCGGGACGGTTCAGGGAAGCTTTCGCATCGGCGAGAAGCTTTTGTCGAGGTGGAAGACAGAAATGCTAGAGCAACAACTTCTGCGGTGAATGAATGACAAGAATAGTCGACGCAAGGTGCTCCAGGCAGCTGAGGACGAGCGAGCAGTGATGCTTTGTTGGAGTGCAAATGCCGCGATGGCGATGGATGCGGGTACCTTTGCTCCCACAGACCTCGAGTTGGTGGAAATGTGACAGTAGGATAGAAGGGAAGTCCGCGCTCGTGCGGTTTTATGGTCAAAAAAAATGTGAGAATGTCAAGCCAGTGAAGTAGTCTAGCCCCGTTCTTCTTTCACCAAGCAATCGGTCATTGAAGAGAAGGAAGGCTCTTCTGATGTAGGTCGGCGTTGAGGTTGCGACTGTCAGAGCTCTGACATGCCAGGGCCAATGTCCAGTGCCTGAGAAGGAAGGAGGGACGCTGTAACGAAACCTCGTTGCGCGTCAATCGGAACGAAACCGCGTCAGACCCAAAGTGAGTGGGACCGCTAAAAGTTGCAGGGAGGCTGCGGCAAGGCAAAAAGCAGAGGGTGTGCCACAACTGCCGGGCAGCTGTTGCCAGCAGGTGAGAGGCCCTGTGGACGGATGA